TTACTCTGTTATCATCACTGGAATATATTCCCCTAGCTTTCTGCATGTGTCTCATTTAGAGTAAATAATCAATGAAATAATAGGAAAATTTGAAACAAAGCAAATGGCAACATGAGGCAGTAAAAGAGTGATAACTGAGCTCTAGTTATGTTTTTGTTATAAAAATACTGCATGACTTAAGAAATAGAATTGTCCGGGTTGTTTCTTTGTGTGAAGAATGAAATGGGCAAGATTCTGTCCAACTCTAGGATTCTAGGATCCTGTCCAACTCTAGAACCCTAAACAGCAATTGATTTGATCTCATGATTAAGCTTTAGTAGGTACTAATACTTTTCTAATGATTATAAAATAGTTGTGACATTAATATTGAGCATTGAGAAAAGACATGGTAGAACTATTCTTTAAAGCACTTTGTCATTCCTTTCCTTCTCCCCGGTCAGCTTTTGGTACAGCAATGTTTCTAAACCTTTAATCCTTTTTTTCAATTGCTCCACCTTTTCCCAATTTCTTACCTTCCTGCATGTTTCATAAAGAGAAGTCATTGTGCTTATAAACACCTTCAACTTTCTGTCTTTTTCCCCTCTCAATTAGGCTTCAAGGAGGAATTAAGAAAAGTCTCAAAGCACATAAGAGGTTATACTGCTAAAAAGTGCAGATAAGTGGGCTCCAGGGAGAGGGAAGAGGAGATAAAGTGAGAACCTGGTGAGACTGGAGAACAGCATGAAGGTCAGGATAGCTGCAGCCCAAAAATATGTGGGGGAAGAGGAGATAATCATGGAAAAAACCTACCAGGGAGGCCCTTGAATGACAGGCTAAGTGGTATGGGCTTTATTCTGTATGTAATCAGGTGCCACCAAATGATTTTAAGCAGGGAGTGACATGTTCATGCTTGCTTTTAGCAACAACCACTTGAGCAGCAGTGTGGAGGCTGATTTTGAGAGGGACAAGGCTGAAGTCTGAGAGATCAGTTAGGAGGCACTTTAAAAAATATTATTTATTTATTTATTTAAAAAATATATTTTATTGATTTTTTTACAGAGAGCAAGGGAGAGGGATAGAGAGTTAGAAACATCGATGAGAGCGAAACATCGATCAGCTGCCTACTGCACACTA